CGAACGTAACACAAATTTGATGTAAAAGTTATATAAAGTTATATAAATATAAAATGCTAAAATATCGATCCTTTAGACTATTATTGTAGGATTTATGACAAACGAAATGTTAAACTCCATTTACTAGGCAGATTTCGGTACGAACAAGAACATGAAATTAAGCCCGAAAATTTAGAATTTAATTTCATGATAGACCCCTAGATATTTAACGCTTGTTCGTTTTAAGAATCCCTATAGAAGTATACTTAAAAGTAATTAAATTTGTGTTTAGTACAAACTCATTATCTTAAGCTTAACCACTACCAGCCTACTTTTCGTATATTTTTATCTAAGTAGACTCAAATGACTTTCTTTGAATTCGGGCTCGTTTTCAAGTTTCTTGATAGAATTTAAGTCGAAAAATTTTAAACGATTAAGAAAACTATATTATATCTAGACTAGATGATATTTTCCACAGTGTTTGGAGTAAAAGGAGATTTACTTTTAGTAAATAGCTTTTATAATATCACAACAAGTAGATACCTATACCTACTTTAGATAACTACGCTTAGTTATTATATACTAAATAGTGATATTGTTTTATATCCATAATATGCCAGCAATTTATGAGTATGGTTTTAGTCAGAGATTTAATATGAGATATAAGTTATTACAGTTATATCTGAAGACTTTTTGATGTACCCAATTAACATAATAATAATTAAATATTAGTAGTTACATTATACTTTAAATACAATTAATATATTATCTTTTACATTATCTTTTATCATTTATAACATTTTCTCCCATTGAGTTAGTGTTATATTTTATGTACAACTTATGTACCTAGAGAAAAATCTTGACTGACTGACTAATCAACGCACAGCTGAAAGTACTAAAAATAGAATTACAAAATTTAAATAGCAGCAATAATAATAACATTTTATGACCTTCATACTGTGTTTCGGTTTGAAAGGTGGGATTTAATGAAATTACAGGATATAGAGGAATAACACCTGAGTCCTCAGGAATGGCAACGCATGGAAAGTATCTTGGGCGAAACAGTACTCTGTTATGCCCATGATACTGCTCATGTCTATAGGCGACGGTTACCACTTTCCATCAGGTGAGCCGTCAGCTTGTTTGCCATTATAAGTTGTATAAAAAAAATGCAGAACGGAAGAATTGTAGAACATTCATTATCTAGAGACATGAACAATACCATGGACGTTACAGAATATACTACGTCCCTGAAACCTCAAATATTCTCCTTTTAAACTTATTTTGATCCAAAACACTGATAATATTTTAACTCACTAATACGTTAGGAATATGGAATATTTCACTCAGAAGAAAATGATGTGTCATAAAATGCGGAACGTTCTCTTTCGGGCTGCTATTCTAAGACACCGTAATACTAGAGCAGGTGAATCAGGATTTATAGTTTAGAAGCTGTATTTTGCAAAGTGGTCGTTAGCATATTCGATGCAGCTATTTTCTGGATTTTCAACTCTCGAGTTACAGAAACATTGTTTTGCTAAGAATTTAAAGTTTCAACTAACGATCTCTTACACTGAAATGGTCTCACTTCAAAGTATGTAGTTCAAACGAGGAAATAATATTGTACATGCACCAATATTTGCAAAGCATTAAACTGGATTTAAGGTCTTTTTTTTTCAAATATTACGCGGAAATAGTAATCGTTTGTGTAGCACTATATTTCTGAGTAGATACTATGTCAATACTAGCTTAAGTATGATAGAGATTTGATAATTGTGACCATCTCAAATACATTGTGGGGAGTCAGTGGAAGCAGGTGGCTAAGAACCATTCTTTATGGCAGTCTATGGGGGAGCCTATATTCAGCAATGGATATATAATGGCTGATATGATGATAATGATAGTGATGACTATGCCAATAGTATGTACTCTGGATTTAATAATAAACAATTGGGATTTTTCGTAACAGTGGCCAATTAAGTCGCGACTCGAACCGTCTCTCTGAAAAGTTAAAAATTATAAGGTTATTATGAAAGTATGTTCTTTAATTATTTCATTTTAATAATACAAATTTTATTTTAACTTTACTGTAGCCTATGAACGTCTGCAACACCAGATGTGTCACATGCGTGTTGCCAATCCTGAGAAAAACTTAATACATCTTTTTTAAAGAACGCCATACTGTAACCTCTAGAGGAAACCTCAGCAGGGTGCTCAATCCATAATCTAAGCGTTCGCGAGAGAAAACTCTGGTACTGCACTACAGTGCGTACACGCGACCATTTAGGTTCTGACGTGTGAGAATGAATTTCCTGTCGATGGCAAGCAGTGCCATGATAAAGGATTTATTTATAATATTCAAAAAAGTACATTAAAAATTTTCCAAAACAAAAAAAAATTATTAGAGTTGAGTGTATTGTTATTGCTGAATCAATTCTTAAATGCTAATAAATATATATCTTGTAACAGAAAGAAGAAAAGTGCAATGCGTTTTAATTTTTCCTTGGATGAACTCGCAGTTGTCGTATCATATAAGTACTATGAAACGTACCTATTTTTGTAACATAAATATAATATCACAAACTGATATTGGACCAAATACATAAGTAATGTCTTGTAGGTAAGGTCATCTACGTATTTACCGTCATCATCTGATAATTTCTAAATATCTAAATGTTTATATCAAATTATACTTAATAATTATTTTAATAAAAAATAAGGTGCTCAAATATCAAAACTCCTTAGTAAAAAATTAATACTTAAGCAAATTAAGCGAATTCTTAAACATTAAAGAGAAGGTTTAATGTAAAATATTTAATTATTTATATAATGAGATTTGCTTAATTTAATAAAAGAATTAATGTCAATAACTAAAAATATAATAATACCAGTACCCCAGACGGAGTATTCAAAGGAATTTTGTCGACTATGTAATCAAATTATGATCTAATATTAATGTTAAGATTACCAACGCCAGCTCATGAAATACAATTAATGTTGATTTAATAAAATTTACGGTTATTACGTTTCCGTCAGCCTTGGTTCTTTCTCAATTGCTACAAATAGCAAACCTAACAAAATGTAAACATTATGAATAGTTTTGTATTTTAAAGGATTCGTAATTTAAAAATTTTAATTAGGTAATATATATGAAATGTTTATATATATAAATATATAAACATTTTAATTAATCTATATATAATATATAGAAGAGGATATTAATTGACTGACCTACCTATATATCAACGCACAGAAGAAGCCGCTCAATCTATCATTTTAAAAAATTATATATTTTTTTACAAAACATTTTTGTTATAAATCAGAATTTTTTAATTTAACTTCTAAGGGATTGCCCTCTTAGGGCGTACGTAAAAGGTAACGGAGATTAAATCTTTGTATATAATTTCGTCAATTTAGAAGTTAAAAGCAGTAAAGCCACCGGCTAAAACTAGTTTTATATATTATAACTCATATACCTACATGCCTTTTTATTTAATTAATACTAAAACTACCGCTTCAAATGTAGCTTTATAAATTACGATCATATAAAATTTCTATGGTACAAAATTTGTTAACTTATGCTGCATATTTAATCCAACAAGAAACTGCTGCACTATTAATGAGTTACAATATCATTTAGTTATTTATGTGTAATATTAAATTAAGAAATATAACAAAACTGTACAAAGAAATGTCAAGACAAAGCATGTTAAACAACGAAGCAATCGGCGTGGGAACATAGCGCAATATTGTTGATTAACAAGATTATGGCTAAACTGGTAGACAACAAAGGCATTTGCTCATAAAACTACTAGTATATGAAATTTACTGCAGAAACTTCACACATGCAATACCATTGATAGAAATGTAATGATTGTAATAGTTACTGACCATACTTAATTTGTATTATGGTCATTTCCGCGCTTAATCTCACGATTGAGTCATTGAGCATATGAGTGAGATTAGTCCAACCAACTCAGATGATCCAGAAGGCCAGAAAGATGCTAAAATTGGCACAGGCTTTTAGAGATATCCACGACAATTTCAGGATCCACACTTATTTCGTTACCCACACTCTGGCCTTCCATTAGCACATTGGCCTATGTGCATCCTCTGTAGAGTAGATATTTACTGACCATGCCATTATTCTATATTTACAAAGTGTTAAAAAGTTATTCTGGGTAAGATGGTGACGTCAGTGACTCTAAAAAGGCCACATACTTTAGTAAATTTAAGGTCGCGACCCTAAAATGATTAGATCACCGTTTAACTGTAGGTATCATATTATGCTCTCCTTTTACTCTAACTTGAAGTACCTATATCTTTTATTCAATATTAAGTTCCAAATTGATTAATGATTGTATATCTGTTAATATTAAATTTATATATTAATTTCTCTGATGTCTATGGGCAGCGGTAATCACTTACGCATATACTTGCCATCAAGCGAGCCACATGTTCTTTTGCCTCCTATATTACATAAAAAAATGTGAAATTTAACACAACAGTAATTTTCATGTATTTTTTTTATTTTTAAACTATTTATCAATCGCTTATTAAAAAGCTTCAATCAAATGAAATATATTATAATCATGTTCGACACTTTAAAATTTACGTATAAATATGTACGTAATTATTGTATTCATAAATATGCTTAATATTTTAAATATTTTTTAAGTGCAGTAGACAAATGAAACGCGGAAAATGCCAACTGTCAATACATATACATTCTGAAACTTACTATGTATACGTTGTTTTAACTTATATATACTATATGATACTACAATTAATATACCTGTCTTTTTATCAATATATTATGTATGAACGCCTATATCTGTGCGACTGTAGACTGACATTTAACATCAATGGACTTGTACTAAGGACGATGCTCTGCAATCTTCACTTAATGTCACTTCCCTAACTTGTCCTTACGTATCCCATGTTATAAGAACTATATATATTTCGCGGTCGGACCCGCAGGCCCTTCCAATGTACACCAAGGCCTCAACTGTCCGTATAAAATGAGTTCACCCGCCCGCAACGACACACTTTGTTACTTTCACGCGAGCAGTGCACATTTTGAATGATTAAAATGTATAGGCTCGCAGTGCTAGCCTTTGTGATCGCGACCGTGACATGCCAACAACAGGAGGGGGCGAGACGCGTTCCCAAGTACGCTGGTGATCCCAAAACAGCAGCCATCGTACAAGAAGCACGCTATCTTAACGGAAATGGTGCTTTTGGTGCCGCATACCAACAGGAGGATGGCATTGACTTCAAAGAAGAAACAGACGCCGATGGCAACAGGAGAGGCAGTTATTCTTACATCGATCCAACTGGACAAAGAAAAACTGTGAACTATATAGCCGGAAAAAATGGATTCCAAGCTATCGGTGATCATATTCCTACTGCTCCTCAGCCCGTTGCTCCAACCCCTGGATACCAACCGGATCCGCGTTACAACTCTCCGGATTACAAAGCATCTCAGTACAGTGCCCCTCAGCAATATACTGCACCTGTTTCCGCTCGCAACTACGGAGGCAAGCCAAATGAGGATGATGGACAATATCATCCCGAACTGTATGAACAGGAAAATTATGTGGCTCCACAACAACAATACCAGCCTCAGCCACAGCCTAGAGCGCAGTACCAACCTACACCACAATACCAACCTACACCACAGTACCAATCTCAACCTCAAGCCCAGTACAATAATATCTATACAGGAGTGCAACAAGCTCAGTACAGTGGCCTTCCTTCGCAACAATATTCTGCGCAACAACCCATTGCCCGTCAAGAATACTATGAACCAACGACGCCGCCTCCAAACCGATTCTTTCCTCCAGGCAAATTTAGTCTAAACAGAGCACCCGACGGCTACACTTACTCATTCCATAAAGTATAAATCCAATTTATAGAGAGGGCCCGGCGAATTGTAAAGACCGAAATACGTAAAAAGCACGCATCAATTAGCAATTCGTCGAGTCATTGAGGGTGGTCGTGATGTGCGTACTCGGTCGTTTCAAAAGCATTTCTTAATTGTTGTTTGCTGTGATATTGTGAACTAATGGACAGGTAAACATAATGTTGTTAATTTTTGTTAATTGTAGAGGAGGATTTGCGGATGGAAGGCGTGCCAGTTGTGGAAACTGCACTTGTAAATAAATCTAGATTTAAATAAACGTATTTTAATCAAATAGTCTTATTAATAAAATACAAGTTTGTGTAATTTATTGACCTATAATCAATTACGTTGGTATTTTAATTAATGAATCCACCTATATTTTTTTCTGTTCCATATTAGTAATAGGATTAAATGTCATTAAAACAAGTACAGCTTAACGTAAAAATCGTACTTCCTAGTCTTGATAGTAAAATATAACAGGGTGTGGACTATGTCCGCATTCTGTTACTTGCACCAACCGACAACAACTAGATCACCTTACTACTAAGACAAGGATACTTGCAACCAAACCGGTCCGGCCCTGCCACGCCTGTCTTTCCTTTTACCTTACTCATATTAGGTCAAATAACGTTATTACAATATTTAATTGAACTCATAATTATGTGTTTACCTACGCTCGCAGTCAGGGATTTATTGAATTCCTAAAACAAAATTAGAAGTCAAAGAAAACTTAATTATCTACCTCGTTCGAGGTTTTATGATATTTATTTATCAAAATCATGAATATTAATTACTATTATACAATACTAATAATAAATACGTAAGTATAAAGTCATTTAGTACACGGTTTTTTCTGTTTCCTTTGTAAGGAATATAACATGGAGATGAAAGATAAATAGGAAATGCTCGTTTGCCCCCTGTGTTGTAAAAAAAATCTATTAATCAAATATCATTTTATCTTATAGAACAATTGTAATACATAACAATATGTCCTTAGAAGTAATTCTAATGTAATATAATATGTTAATCTATACTTGAATAATAAATAGTATTATTTTTAATAAAGACGATTAATTTTCTTTGTATTAAAGTTTAAAATCCTCATAGAACTTAGTTGAAAAAGTAAGAGTTTGAAATAGATGCATTAGTATACAAATATAGTTTATTAAGATCATAAAGAAATATCTAATCATAAGTGATGAGGTTTTGAGGTCGATCCTGTGACCGAGATTAAACCTATCTCTAAAATTAAAATTTCAATTTAATTTAATTTTCATTTAATCCATTTAATGCCAAACATTAAGATCTATTTTGTTAATAGTAGACTTAAAACTATGTTAGTAAAAAAGATTTTAATTTAATAAACCATATACATACCTAAGAGGCATTCGGTCAAGACGGCAACAAACCAAGGTATGGTCATTTTATGTTTTAGTCATCATTCTGGCGAAATGCCTTATCACAGATGCATATATATCATCAGCTATCATTTTTAGGATTGTGTTGTCACTCAATATCGTAGCGATTTTTTTTTTATTCTAAAGAACAATATGAACTAAATTTCTAAAAGATTTAAATTAAAACTATTATAAATCTAGATTATGATGGTAACTTAAAATTCGCGTAACATACAAACAAAAATGTTAAATTAAGAGATAGGTTTAGAATAATGGTGGCTCAAATTTTTTTAATGTAATACTGAAGAGTTCTACTATTTTTATCTCTGTTATTGAAATAAACAAATCTTACCAACAAAGCTTTTTGAATTTAATTTTATTCATTCATTCTATTCTAATCGTTATGTTTAAATTCTACCGCTTTGATCAAATTTACATTTTTTTTTTCTTAGGATAGTCGAATTAGTTGATAACTGGAAATATCGGCATAAAAAAATAGATAATATTAAAATATAAGTAAAAATAATAATAAAAATAAGAATTATATTTATTATTTTTAAAGTAAAAAATTTTTTACACACAATTCTAACGTCCTATTATTTTCTTTAGAATACACGTAGATATCATACGACAGGACATGTTTATTACAAATTTATATTGTTCAATTAGTATTAATTAAATCATTTACTATTAAGTACCCTAAAATAAAACTATGGTGGCCACTATAAAAAAAAAGGAATTATAACAATAATGTACTTCTATACTTAAGATAACAGTAATTAAAAAATAAAAGTATATTTCAAAAAGTGGTTTATAAAAAAATACTTATTTATTTGCAACTATATCACTACTATCTCAAACTTAGATTGAATATTACAAATTTTAAACATGTGAGTTTGTTTGTTTATTTGGTTTGTTATCATTTCATGCTTCAATAATTTCGGACAACAGAGAAGGGAAGGGATTGTTAGTAATGCGAACTACCAGTCCCATTGCTAGTAATATGCCCTGTCAGGTCGCCTTCCATGTGGTCCTCCCTAGAAACCAACATGCTGAATTTCTAGTATATGCATCACGATGGGCTACCCGACCTGCTTTTTCATTCTTACCTTTTATCTCTCACTGATACCCCGCCAGCGTATGCCGTTGACGTGGGTGGAATTACAATTCCATTATCATCTTATAAAAAAATTCGGAAAACAATATGTGGGCTTCTTTGTTTATTTCTTTGTTACATCTTGGCGCTTTAATGGTTTATCCAATCATCATAAAACTAGTACACACTTAGGTACTTTGAGATCGAAAAGGGTATAAACAACATTTCGTCCTATTCAATCAATAAATCCCAGTAAAGTCGCGTGTAAAGCGTAGTAATAAATCCTCGTTTTATCTGTGACTAGAAATCACTATACCAAACTGAACTGAAATACCAACAATCAGACGATGCCGAACCCATATGCAACCATACAAAGTTATTGGACCAAATCGCTTACATTTCCAAATGTATTTCTGTTGTTAAGTCAACGCGTGTATAACCGTTTGCGTTGTCGCAATCCTATTCCAATAATTGTATTGTTTTCTGCAACGCCAATAAAATATTGATGCAATAGTAATTTTATTAAATGCTATTTCATCTTCTGTTGAAATTTGGAATGACAGTCAATTACTTCATCGTCATTCGGGTTTGTTATGTCGGCTTTGTTTTAAGTAATAGACATGGGTGCTGGCAATTTTATTTCGATATAATAAAGACTTTAATAATAACACAAAGAAGTCGGTTTAAAAATAACCAATCTTTCTCTTGGTTGAAGGTATCCATTCCAAGGTGCATTTTTTTATTAATAGATGATAATGGATTGGTAATCCTGCCTACCCTATCGGTATACGCAAGCGGAATAGTGAATGATGATAGATGAGAATGAAGTTCGATCAGTTGGCCTATTATGATGAATTTACAAGGAATTAACCACTATGGTTCCCCTTAGGAGATAGGGAGGAAGGTATTGTTAGTAGTGTGGTCTAACTGAACCTCCACCTCCTCGCGGTTTCTCCTGGAAACCATCGTAGTTAATTCTAGTGGAATTCGTCACGGTGGGCTAACTGACCTGCTTTTATCGTCATCTATCATTCCTCACTGATGGCCCGCCAGCGTATACCATTAGCGCAGGCTGGGTTACCATTTCAATTAAAAACCATTAAACCATTAAAAAGAATATAAAATTCTTCCCTTATTATTTTATGACGTCATCGGGTTTGTCACTTTATTTGTCATATTATTGTTTATAGGTATTAAAGTAGAAATATTGTAAATATACATTTTTTATGATTTTAGCAACCAATTCAGAATGCATTTTAAGTTGACGTGGGCAAGGGATTCAACCGATTCTTTTTTATAACTAATCTAAAAAAATTGTCAATTATTATTGGTTATTTTGTTGCTTTACTTTTTTTTTTTTAGTCTGTTGTATTTTATGATATCTTCTTGTTACTTATAAAAAATGTTTAACACAATGCAGTATTGTTGCGAATAAATAAATAAATTTTAATTGAATAAATCTAAAATAGGCAAATAAGTGAAATTATATTGTTGCCATTATAATTTTCTACCTTCAGTTATTTCTCAATACCGAATCTTGAGACGTAGGTACCGTAGGTAGGTATATATACCGATCAATACTGATCATAAAATATCTAATTCAAAGGTGATAGAGTACGTCACTTTAGATAGAAGTGACGCAGTTACGAGTTGTATAACTCGATACGTGGTTGACATTCTTGAGGCAGTTCTTACTTTAATAAGAAAACTTCGCTCGATTTTGTGTTACTTATTTAGATACATATAAACTTTGGAAATATTGAATATATATTTATTATTATTAGCCTACTTCAAAAAGGCTGGCTGGCTGACAAAAACTCGTATGTTACGTCTTCGCCAGTTCTATACCGATTTCGATTAGGATTTAAATTACATTATTGTACGGAAACTTAAAAACAATGGAACAAGCTGGTAGGCAAAGTAAAAAGTAATATCAGTACTTTTTTTATACCAGCCATTTTTCACCATAATTAAAAAGTATTAAAGCTTTATACTACATTCTACAACAATAAACTTTCATGACCTGCTGGGATCTTTAATTAGTACATAAAGTGCTGATAAACTTTGTAACGCGAAAAAAAAAATAGAACAGCACTTTCCGTAGTATGCAAAGTGGCGGGCGCGCTGCTTCAATAAACTTCGTCTATTTAATTACAATGAGAAATGGGAATCTAAATGCTACTAAGAGTAAAACGAATCATACTCGATCCAACGTTGACCTAGGCATTTCTATAAACTAATATTTCATCGGTAACTTTTTATTGCAATATTATTGGGTTGGAGCTTTTAGCATTTCCGATTTGCACGGCAGAATTCTTTGAATTATTTCTGAATGCAAAGTAATAGTTATTTCAATAAGAAGTGCGCAAGTAGAATTTTACAATCTCAGAACTACAAAATATTCATTTTTATCTTCCTATTTAGTGATTGCTCTTATAAAAGACTGAAAAAGGAGGGATTATAAAATAATGAGAAGTGGATAAAATTTATGAAGTCTTTACCAAGGTAAAAATAATTTAAGGCAACTTTTCAACATAACATTGTAGGAATTTCACTTTTGCATAGTGATAAATAATAAGGTTTATGGTTGAAGTGATTAACCACCCAATTAGTCTAAATACAAAGGTTTTAAAGCTATTACTACTCCTGTATATTTAATCGATGAATGACATCAAAAATGCGTACAAAGCAAAATTTCCAATTATTAACTTTAGTTATAAGATGACCAAATAATAATCTATGGAATCTGTATTTATAGCAATTGGTAACAGTTGTAGCATCAATCTAATGATACTCCTAATCGTAACCACTAGAGGTGCTATACAAATATATCTCCAAATGTCAATATTT